CTGACTACAGGAAGCCCGAGGCAGAGTTGCTCTGCCCCAGGCTTCCTGGAATCAGCCGCTGATCAGTTTCAGCAGCAGCTGACTTGGGGACGCCTGGGTTTCTTAAATTGAATCTGTATGTAAGTCAGAACTGGCGTCCAGATTCAGCCGCGGTTGAAACTGATCAGTTTCAGCAGCAGCTGACGCCAGTTCCGACTTACATACAGATTCAACTTAAGAACAAACCTACAGTCCCTATCTTGTACGTAACCCGGGGACTGCCTGTACATATTAAATAGCCATCCTTGACTGTAAGAGGATTAGTCTGGAGTGAGAGAAAGGAAAGGGTATAGGTGGAGGAGGGAGGGATTTGTAAACCAAAGTGGAAAAACTTCAGTGATTCCAAAGAGAAACATGAATAAGGGATACATGTAGGAGATAAAAGAGAACAAATCGCATAACCATCTAACAATTCTGGATGGGTTTTAAATCCCTAACATTGATTATCAGTGTTATGGTTAACTGGCAGCCAATTCAGGAAATTGCCATTCCATTGCTATTATTGCACTCGTTTTTAACCCAATAATACCTTTTCACAATATATTTCTTTTCTAGGTGATGCACAGAATTCATCTGTTTAGGTTTTCAGCAATGAGGTTGTTTAATGTCTCCCTCTCCCCACCTCCCAGTTTTTCCCTTCAACTTTTCTTCAGATTTCTTTAATTTTCTTTAATTCTGCTTGTTAAAGAATAGAACCGAGGCTGAGTCATTGTCTCATCTTACTATGTGGATTCCCGTTTATCAGAGCTAAGAGAGCCTATGTGGCAAATGGAAACAGACTTTCTTTGTAGAACTATAGTCGGTTCTGCTTAATTTTATCCCCCAAGCATAAATTACTCAGATATTGAAAATCAGATCTCATAAGTTTATTTTTTCTCCTAAACAAAACAGGCCAGAGATGGTGAAAGTAAAACTCTGTAGAGTAAAGCAAAGCACTTATTTGGCAAAGACATTTTCCATTGAAATCACTGATCCATGATAGATTACAAGTCCTGGTTTCAGCTGCATAGCTATTAAAAACAGTTTAAGTGGTAGTGTAGGCTAGACATAACAGTTTCCAAATATGTTCAGGCAAGTCTTACATAAATATGCTGGAAGCAAGTCTTCTTGCAATAGTGTTGAAAACTGCTAGCTTGTAAACCACTTGAAACACTGAGGCAGTTGTACCCAAAGATAAAAATGTGCACAAAATATCTGATTTATAATAAAATGTCTGAACAGAGAAAAAAGCTCAATCCTTGAAAATGGCTGACAAAGTGTAGACTGTGGTAAGTTTTATGGAATTTAATAAAGATTTATCTCCTTTCTGTAGAATATTGAACCAAACTATAGAAATCAGTATATTAAATACCTGCTTTAGTTCTTTATAATCCTCAATACATTTTGGAAAGATTATTATTCTGTCAAATTATATTATTGGAATCATTTTTACAAAGCCTATTTAATTAATATTGTTTTAATTCCTATTACACTCTGTAGGAGTTTTCGATAATAGATAAGAGAAAAACAGTCTGCAAAACCTGCTAGTTTCTTGTTTATAATCAGATATTTTGTACACATTTTTAACTTTGGGTTAAAACAATTAGCCTTTCAGATACAATATCCTGCTAATTTAAGTGATAAATTAATGTATAGTAAGTGGACTGTCTGAATGTAACTTAAACTAGTAATTCATTTAGTAATCAACCAGTCAGAGTTTCTGGCATACATTCTGTAAACCACACATAATTGAACTGAGACCCAACTAACTGGATTTATTATGAACTGATGAAAAGCACTATTTTGGGCAAGATCTGTGTGTAAGCTGGGCTGTCAGAAGGGTGATATTATCCTCTTCCACTCCTCCAGTATTTTTGTTTATTGTAAATCCAGATACCCCATCATGTGTTGATATAAATCAATGTAGCTCCTCTGAAGTCAAATCATTAATAAATAACATTCTGAGTACTTCCTGTAGTTTACTTTCTGAATAAATTAAAGCTTTTATCTTTAAAAGTTTGTGTTTCTAGCCCTTATGGTTGGCAAGAAAATTGTTCCATCTATTAACCTGTTTGCAGAGACCCAGCCTGAATCAATATCTCATGGTCCAAGGCGGCAGCATTTACCTTGGAAAAATTCCCATTGAATACAATGAGATTTTTGCTGTTGGACATCGTGCAGGATTTAGCCCAATAAGAGAGATGGATTATAGGCTGAACCTCTCAAATTTGGCATCCTCAGGACCTAACCGATGCCAAACCAGAGAATTTGCTGAACCACTGGAGGTTAATATTGTCCGGCAGCGTTACCAACACTGTTTACTGGGCTTTTAGACAACATATGGGGTATGTCGATGGAGCCATGTAGATTTGTTTGTTCGGCAAAGGGAAATGAAGCCGTGATTTAAATAATCGCGGCTTCATTTAAATTTAAATGGCTGCCCCGCTCTGCCGATCAGCTGTTTGTCGACAGATCGGGGCAGTCTGGATGGTCCCCTGCCGACATGAAAGCCCTTTATCGACCTCCCCGGTAAGCCTCATCCTACGAGGCATAACAGGACTCATCCTACGAGGCATAATGATAAAGGACTTTCAGGTCGGCACGGGAGCGTCCAGACTA